GGCCCTCCCCATTGGTCGCGGCAGGGGAAGCCGTGTTATTTCAATCGATATCTCGCGGCGGCGATTTTTCGAAAGCGTTATCTGGCGCGCGGGCGAGAGAGGCGAGCCTTTTCCATTTTTGCCCGCCGCCGCGGGCAAGGAATCCTGCCCCCTTAGTACGCGACGCCGCACGACGCACGGCGCTGGTGTCCGCTCCGAGGTGTCCCGGTCCCGGTCCCGGGGGTCCCCCAGAACGGCGGGAGATTCGAACGGCCCGATCCCCCGGCTGAGCGCTCCTGCGCTTTGGGGAATCTCCGCGGTGCTCCGGGCGCGGCTGTCCCGCCCCGGAGGAGGGCCGCGGGTTAAGGGGACTTCCCTTACGGGCAGATCGACGGCGGTTCCCCGGGAGGGGACTTTGCTCTCCTGGAGGCGACGCTCTTACGCAACTCGACCTCTAATTTCGCGTTTTGCGTAACCGCTCGACGGAGGGAGGTGCCGGGGGTCGAGGAAGCTGGGTCCCTTTCTGGAGCGACCCGGACCTCCACCGGGGTGGTTTCTCGAGAGTGGAGGGGCTCAGGTGGCGAGGTCGACCTAGGAACCTCCGATTCCTCATGGGCGACGAGGTGCTCCCCGGGACTCGCCTCGTCGACGTCGACGGCGCCAAGGGAGACGGTCCTCGGTCTCGGTGCTCCCAGGAAGGAAGGGTCGCCTTCTTCCGGACCCTCCGACGTGGAGCTATGTTCCTCTCCTCTCGACCCGCGGACGCCGGATCGGGGGTCGACTCGAAGAAGAGCTCGAGTCGCGTCGGAGGCGCCTCCTAGGGAAGATGTTCCACGCCGGCGAGGACCATGGTCCGGGCCATGGATCGTGGACCCCTCCGCCTGGTTCCCTACCCCAGTCCCAACATCAGACCCACCCTCGGCCGCACCTCCACCCGGGCCATCCGTACACCCCCCCGGCGTATCAGCATCCTCATCACAACTTGCCGCCCCAGGTAATTATTCCCGATTTCCAACCGGGCGACCGGTTCTATCCCGCCGCTGGTAATTGCTTTTTGCTCCATCCCTGGAACGGCGAAAGGGAACCGCGATCGCCCCGGGTCTCGCCCCGTGGAACCGTCTCCGGGACCTTAAGGTGACGCTAATGCTTCTTTTCAATTCCGTTGACGAAAGTCAAGTTACGGAAACCTTTATTAACTCTTTCGGCGATTTGGACTCATAAGTGGCTCCGACGTTTGGTCGAATATCGCTTGCCCGCCCTCGGGAAATTCGCCCTTACTCCTTAAGGGCTTAGCGTTGGCGTTCGAGTGGTAAAGTTTCATTAGTTTATAAAAAATGAAATCTCGCGAGTTTCAGGACCTACCTTAGGGTCTCCATATTCACGATTTAAAGTATTAAACGATTTGAGACACCCTGTTCTATGAAAAGTTTTCTGAACGATTGAGCTTTCGGATGCCACTTTCACATCCCCTTAAGGATACTCGGCATTGGCAATTGGGGTTGGTAATCGGCATTAATAAACGGCATTAATAATCGGCATTGATAATCGGCATTGGTCCCTCCCGTGAAAGGGTGCCGGAAAATCCGGCGCCGGTCGCGTCCCGGCTGCGCGCGCAGCAGGCGCCCCGGGCGCGACATATGCGAGGTTAGGTGCGCGCGTGGGCGGACGGTGCGTGCAACGGCGATGCACGTTGCGCCGGTAGGGCATATGGCGGGCGCAGGTGAGACTCGGCTTTGTACGGCCAATGGATAAAGTAGCCCGCTCGACGGAGACTCCCGGCTATCCCGAGCGAAAGGGTTCCGCTTCGGAAATGCTAACGATCCCCTCGCCCCGAAGGGGAGGGGCGCCTCTCCGGCGAAGAGGAGAGGACCAGGAAAGATATAGAATCGAAGATATCGTCCGATAGGGAGGACTACTCGGTATCTAGGTATCGGCCGATCCCGAATTTGCATCGGCCAAAGCCGATTACCTCCTAAAGGGTTACCCCGGGGAAGCGATCCCTTCTCGTTATCACGAGGACGGGGTCGGGAACCGTGGGGGTGGGCAAAGAGAAAAAAAGTCACTCCTTACCGGGACATCCGCCGAGGGGGGAGGAAAGAAACGTTCTCTCGTTCGATTCCACCCCTGGGAGTCGAGGGAGAGGATGCTTTTTAGGAAATACCCTCTCCGTCCCTTGATATATTTTTCCATTATTAAAGACATTAAGACCGGGAGAGGACTCCTTCCGTCCTCCTGGCGGCACTTAGCCCCCCCCTCTTTTTCTTTTTCCCTCGTTTTTCGCCGCGGCGATAAATCAGAAAAAATGAAGGAAAAAAAAAGGGGTGGAAAAGGAGGTTTCACCCCACCGAGTTCCCGCGATTCCTGCAATTTTCCGTCCGCTCGGAGATAAAAATTTGATTAATGGGCCCGCGCCTCCTGGGGAATCCGAGGTGACGCCGCCGACTCGGTCGAGGAAGGTGCCCGAAGGGGAGGGCCGGGGGCGAACTTTGGGGAATCGTCTCGTGGACGACTCGGGGAGGATCGAGGGTAGGTGGGATAGGGCCGAAGGGGTTGCGTTAAAAAGTGATCGAGGAACCGGGACCGACGACCAGTTTCTCTCGCGATGTGACGCATCTCGGTACCTTCGCGGATTTCCGCGGGTTTCCCGGAAAATTTCCACGGGGATTTCACCTAGAAACTAGAGACGGACCTAGGTCCCTGGTAGCGTAGAATAATTTCTAAATATTTCTTTGCAATCTTTGCTAAATATCTCAAGCGACTGATTTTTTTTTTCAAGATTTCGTGTAGACTTCATTCGAAGATATCCGAAATATTTGTTGAAAATCTGAATGGCATAATTAGTCTCGATAATTTATAGACATGTATAGAAATTATATTTTTTAATTTATGAATATATAATGTCTGGTAAATATTTAGAAAGTGTACGATACTCGTTAAATATACAGAAAATATAGGACAAATATTTTGCGCCGGTAGGGGTGTCTCCGGGAGTCGCAGCTTCCGGAGGGACCTTCTGGAGGGAGGTCGAGGTGCCCTCCTCGGTTTCGGCGAGTCGAGGTCGAGGAGAGGAAAGCGATAAAAAGAAAAGCCGAGGAAAGGGGGAAAGGCCGAGATGAAAATCGCGGGCACGGGTACGTCTCTCTCTCACGGGGATTAAGAGCCAGGGATGCCCAGTGCCCGGTGGAAAAGAAGGGACTCCTCCTCGTCGTCGAAAAAGCGAAAGGGTTAGCAGCCGGGAACTTCCGCCGGGAAATCCCCGGAGAAACTTGAGAACCCTCGCCGGTGACAATTTCAATTCTCCTCTCGCTCTCGGGCCGTGCTCTCTCGAGACGCCCCCTCTCTCTCTCTCTCTCCCGTCCCGCACCAGGAAAACGGACTGCCCCCTAAGATTCTTAAAACTTCTCACGAGATTTTTCGATTTTAATTACAGTTTTAACATATTTTAATAAAATCCCCTTCTGCCGCCGGAGAGCTCTCCGGAGGCTCCCTCTCGGTCTCCCGAGGGATTTGTCGTCTAGGTTGTCCCCCCGTACTTTCTTCCGAGAATTTTTTTTAATCGTTCGATCTCTAATCTAAGGAAGTTTCTGGGAACTTTAGGAACGATTCGACGATTCCTCGGAAATTTACCGATTTTTTCGAGGTCGGGAATCTCCGGCTCACTTTTCGGCGGGACTGTATCCCCTTTGGCGTTAACCCTTTCGTCCGTTCACCTACACCCACACTCGGTAACACCCGCACCGTGCATGCCGCAACACCTGTTCCACCGGCCCAATAACCCTTTCTTTTCCTTGTACCATCGGAACCCTTCGAGAACAGTGCCCTTCCCTCCTCGCGACTCGAAGGAAGATCGGAAGGTTCCCTCGCGACCGGCCAATTTCCTACTTATTCCCTTTACCCGATTTACTCGACTGTAACCAACCGATGAGAAACGCGCGAGGAAACTTCTCGGATCGCACCGTTGAAAGAGAAAAGAAAAAAAAAAGGAAAAAAAATTAATATATCATTCAACCACGTGTCGATGGTCTTACTCGGACCCGGCGTATTAAACATAACAATACCATCGTAAACGTATGAAATATCCGTGGTTAATAATTTCACCAGGTAGTTTAAACAATATCCTAGGGTCGTGGATCGCGCCATTATAAGAGGAAAAAAAAATTAATAAATTTTTTAACCACGAATCGATGGTCTTACTCGGACCCGGCGTATTGAAATTAGCAATACCCTCGTAAACGTATGTAATATCCGTGGTTAATAATTTCACCAGGTGGTTTAAACAATATCCTAGGGTCGTGGATCGCGCCATTATAAGAGGAAAAAAAAATTAATAAATTTTTTAACCACGTATCGAAGGTCTTACTCGGACCCGGCGCACTGAAATTAGCAATACCCTCGTAAACGTATGTAATATCCGTGGTTAATAATTTCACCAGGTGGTTTAAACAATATCCTAGGGTCGCGGATCTCGACATCGATTCACGTATCGAGTCGAATTCGTCATTTTAATGCGACCCCGCGTACTTCATTCCTCGGGGTGCCGAAAACCGAGAAGGGAAACATGGACTCGGTACGTCTCTCTTTATCTCCCTCACTTGACCTTTATCAGGGAGTAGCAGAGCAGTTCCGTAATTCCCGATCGGTGGTCTAATCTGGAGGGGTTCAAAGAAACCGTCCCCCCCAAATTCCATTGTTCGGTCGATCGCAATCCTAGGGAAGACAACAGTTGTCCCGCGGACCTCGCACGCGAAAGGTTAAGGCGAAGTGGAACCCCCCTTCGGCTAGCAGAATACCCAAAAAAGAAAGGGATAAAAATTGGGGATTTTCCCTGGTCCCCTTAGTTTAAAAAAATGAACGAAAAGTAGGGGGATCTCGTATCGCGGCGCGGCGGGGTCAGGAACGCCCGTGGAGAGGATCCCCAGGATCGTCCTCGGGTAGAGTCGCGGTTAAGGGCACCGGTAACTCGAGATTTGCCAACCCCCGTTGCTCCGATTAGAGTGCAGCGTACCAACTAACCCCGGCAGTTCTTCTCGCAGATCTTCATGCAGAAGAACATACAGATGCACGCCAGGGAGCTGACGGCCAGTTCCTTGACGGGGCGCCCCGGTGGGACGGTCCCCGGGAGCCTGGCCGGCCTCGGGGTCGGCGTCGGCGTCGGGGTCGGCCCTGGAGGGATGATCCCGGGCAACGAGGTCAAGCCCCACCAGTGCCAGCAATGCCTCAAGTCCTTCTCCAGCAACCACCAGCTGGTTCAGCACATCAGGGTCCACACCGGGGAGAAGCCGTACAAGTGCAGCTACTGCGACCGGAGGTTCAAGCAGCTCAGCCACGTCCAGCAGCACACGAGGCTGCACACGGGTGAGTCCTCGGATCTTTCTATCCCTTACGTATCATCCCTTTACGCCGTACCGTACACTGTTAACAGACCGCTGACGTGAATTCACGTCTTTCAAACTTCTATCCCTGGGTGCCGCTGACGTGAATTCACGTCATTTTTTATTCTCTTCCTGATTACCGGTGACGTGAATCACGTCCATTGCGATACACGATACAAGTCTCCGGCAACCAGTTTCAGGATTTTATTATTTTCTAATATTGTTAAAAAGATCTTCTGAATTTTATATCATTTTTCACGGAGGTCGTATTCAGACATGGTTTACTGATTTCATAACGTAGTTAGAAATAAAAGTGTTAAAAAGAGTGTTTGCGAATTTTATAACATCTTTGTACAGTCAAATGACCGGTTTCAAAGTTCTGATTTGAAATGGTACATTCGTTATTATTTTCTTTCGTTCGTCTGACTTTACGTAAATTCTTATATTATCTGATTAATTAATTTGTCCAGTTTTATCATTTCTTTTCCCTCTTTCTTAACTGAGAAAAAAAATTCGTCATTTAACCGGTCGACGAATTTACATCTTTTCCTAAAGTTCCCTGCGTGGAACCTTAGCTCTGAACTGAAGTAAGATCTAAAAGTTGCATACATCTGAAATCTAAATGCAGGGTCATTTTGCGAATCACAGAGTTCAGATCGAATCTAATGATATCCAGTACATCGGTTTTGTGTAAAAGTATAAAAAAAAGATTTTCTTTGATTATTTTATTATTACATCAGAGTTACGCTGTGCACCATTTCCTACGAGAAATAGACAATTCCTTTCATAAAAATAACGTATACTTCGTAATCGGTCATTTGACCGGTTACGGTATGGTTAGATACATCTGAAGTGACGGTACGGTTAGTGTTAAGCCGAAACTCCGATCGGGCCGGTTAAGCGCTTTCAAAGAGAGCGCCGGCAAGACGGCCAGTGGGCCCTCAGGGAAAGAATTTCATTAAGGGATGGACGTAGTCGCTCGGAAGGTATTGGCCTTCGGACAAACAGTTGGCTCTGGCACCACCCCTCGCGGATGCCTCCCTTATAGGGCCTCGCTAATGTCCGTGAATTAAATCCCTATCATTTCTTTTATTTCCTTTTGCCGATGGATTTCAGGACGATGTGTCGGGTTTCGACCGACCGGGCCTCGCCGCGACTTAAGATAGACTTCCATCGATTTTTTAACCCTCGAGAGCACCCTTCATTTTTATCGCGTGTTTTACCGAGAATTTTCTTGCGGGACCAATCGATACCTCGCGCGATGCCGATTAATCTCGGTATCGGTCGGCCGGTGAATTCAGATTATCGGTCCCGAGGTTAAGGTGATATGAAATATATATATATAAAATGATATATATATATAACAAAAAGTCAAAACAATTATAAAAATTTTCTCCAAATTGGGTCCACCGAATTGATTTGACACTTCGTCAAGAGATTACGGAGGCCCTAAGGAAGAGCGCGATGCTCGTGAAGTTTGATTTTTCGTAAAAAAAAAATGTACTTTTTTTTACGAAAAATTAAATTTCACGGGCAGCGACCATAATCACGTGTTAAAGTTTCATATAAGTCGGGGCACCCAGTTTGGATTAAAGTTTGATAAACATTATCAAATTTTTATATATATATACGTACCCCTCTAAATGGAAATATATCTCTCTCGCGCTTTTACCGGAAGTTTCGGAAAATTCCCAGGAAATGTCGCGGCTTTGAATAAAATGGTGACGATGGGGGGTGAGATCTAAGTCGCCTTTTTTTTTTTTTTAATTAATTCGGGAATTCGCGGGCGGTCTCGATAAAAGAAGGGGTCGCATTGATTTTAGCCGCGGCCGAATAACTACTCCTCGACCACCCCTTAGATTAATAACCACCCTTGGCCTCCCACCCTCGGCCGAGAAGCGACGTACTCGTAGGTAGGGTCGGGGCTCTGTCGTTTCGACTGCAACTCCGAAATGTGCAAGCCTCGAGTGTGCTCGCATGTCGCGGCCAATAAAGCCCTCCGAATTAGTCGAGTCGAGTGATCCAAGGAACGTGGCTCGTCTCACGAGGGACCGGAAGCTTCCGGTCCCGGGGAAAGTCAATCGGCGTTAAGGCGATACGATCTTTCACCAGGCCTAAGGGATGCAAATTTAAGGGATGCAAAAGTGGCATCCGTCGTTCGTGAGACTTTCCTTATAACTGAGTGTACCGTTTCGATCGTTACAACACGAACAACTGTAAGGAAGGTCCTGAAACCCGTGAAATTTCATTTTAAGTCAAAATTTTTAAACTAATGAAATTTCATTTTTAGTCATTTTTAAACTAGTGAAATTTCATTTTTCGGGCCTCGCTCCATAAAATTTCACTTTTCAATGGATTTCTTTACGCGAGGTTTGAAATTCCTCGTGAGGTTTAAGGGACTTTTCTATCGCCTTAATTACCGTTTCCGTTTAATGCCCCTGGGCGTAGTTACAACGCGCAACGAGGGTTTCGGTCCGAAGGGCGCAGCCGGGCCGGAATTTAGAAAATCGCCGTCTAATGCCCGATAACTCGTAACTCAGGCGCCGGTATCCGCTGTAATGTGTATAATTCATTAACCGAAACTCGCTAGGGCCCTCGAATATAATATTGCCGAGCGGGATATCGATAGCCGGTCAATTGCGAGCGCTAGACAAATACGCGGGGACGCTCGGACGCCCCGACGCCCTCCTGCGTCCGCCTCCGCCGCCCGCCGCCCCCCGACTGGCCAATCGCGAGCCCGCCCGCCCCACCACGTGACCCCGACGCTGGGAAAAGCGCGGGAATTTTTCGATCGCCCGATCGCTCAATAATGGAACCGAAGTTGCGCGCCCGGCCGCGCCGCCCGGAGGGGTCGCCGAAGATTGCCGCCCGATTCGATCCTCCACCCCGGAACCTGCCGGACCGACCTGCCCAATGTTGTTCGATTTTCAGAAATTTTCTGGATTTTCAAGGGGGTGCTTATGGGCGAATTTCATGAGGGCGTGCAAGCAATATTCGACCGAACGTCGGACGCACTATGGGCCGTGCCCGATCGACCTGCCCAGTTGTTCAATTTTCAGAAATTTTCTGGATTTTCGAGGGGGTACTTATGGGCGAATTTCATGAGGGCGTGCAAGCAATATTCGACCGAACGTCGGACGCACTATGGGCCGTGCCGGACCGACCCGCCCAATGTTCAATTTTCAGAAATTTTCTGGATTTTCAAGGGGGTGCTTATGGGCGAATTTCATGAGGGCGTGCAAGCAATATTCGACCGAACGTCAGACGCACTTACGTACCCAACCCGATCTCAACTTACCCAAAGTTGTCAAATTTTGAGAAATTTTCAAGATTTTCAAGGGGGTGCTTAACTCTTTCAGCTCTAGCCCTTTGGCGTATGGGGGAATTTCACCAGGACGTGCAAGCAATATTCGACGGTAAGGCCGCAGTGCTCGAAATATGAGATATCCCTTGGGAAAAATCGATGGTCGCGTTTAGGGAAGAATGGAAGACGGAGCGAGAGATTTTCGGGGGGGTGGGAACGAGGAGACTAAGGGATGCCCAGTGTCTGAAATCTGTATCGGGTCCCCTCGCCGCGACCCTCCGCTTATTAAACCCGGGTAAAAATCGAAGAAAGGGGTAGTTAACGAGCGAAACGACTCGCCGAAAAATCGTCCCGGGGTTCTTTTCAACCCTTTGCCGCGACCTCGGGGCGCCGCTTGGTAAAAGCGGTCACGTCCTGCCGGCGAAATTGACCGGACAATTTTAAAGCCCTGTTAATGCTGAGAAAAATTGCCGTTTCGCCGGTGCATGAATAAAAATTAAGAGGCTGCAAGGTACGGGCCAATTTCGCCCTCCCCCCTCGCGAGGTTTACCGGAACCACCCCTAGCGATTCGATCTCTCTGGAAGGGATTAAAATTGACGAAGTTTCCGCCTGAGTTTCTTTCCCTTCCGTTTCCCCGCTTTTTTTTTCTTCTTTTTTTTTTCCCTCTCGCTTTCAAATAGAGGAGGGCGGACCTCGAGAACTCCGAATGCTCCGCGGTCCAACCCTTAAAAAGGCCGCGTCTCGCTCCGGAGACCTCCCCAGCCCTCTCCACTTTTAATTCGCTAATTTCGCCCGGTTAAGAATTCATGCGGGGGAATAACACCGCGTCTCGGAGATATCCCGGGGAAAAATCAAAGGAAAATGGGGTAACGACTGGCGCGGCCTTTTTGCCCGTCTACGGACAAATGAAAGATTAAACGGAGCCCGCTCGAACTCTCGAGGATGGAAATAGTCGCCATTTGGGGATTAACGGGAGACCTGGAGGGAGGAAAAAATTGAAATGGAGGGCATTACTAGCGATGGACCCGCGAAAAGGATCGGGAGGTCGGTCATTTCGGTACGTGTAGGCGGTAACACGCGGCCTGTCCCGTTGAGTACTGCAAGTACCGCGAGCTCCGACGCGACATGCAACTTCCTACTCGCCGTGTACGCGTCTACGTCCTGCCAAAGTATCTCCCGGCCCTCGGGGCTCGACTTTTCGAGATCGATCTCCTCCCTTGCCCGATCACGAACCTGACCAACGTCACTAATCGGGCACGCCGGGAATACAACTCCCGGCAACTGGACACCGCCGATCGAAGGGCGGCCCGTTGCCGGCCTCATTAAGGGGATGTGAAAGTGGCGTTCATAAAATCATTCATAGTCAACTGGGTGTCTCAAATCGTTTCATACTTTAAAACGTGAATATGGAGACCCTAAGGTAGGTCCTGAAACTCGGGAAATTTAATTTCTTATAAACTATTTTTAAAATACCTATAAAGAAATTTGAAAAGAATTGAAAGTTCATGAGTTTCAGGACCTTCCTTATAGTCCCCCCATTCACGTTGTAAAGTTTCAGACTATTCGGTAAATCGAGGTGGGAGAAAAGTTTTATAAACAAAACCTCTTCGACGCCACTTTCATATCGCCTTAAAGGGCTCGTTCGATTCCGTCAAAGGACCGAGATAGAAGTGACTCG